AATGTGAGTGACCAAAATCCCCACCTGGGGCATGAAAAACGTGACCAAATCCCGACATCGGACCTGGGGCAGCGCGGGGGGGGGGGGGGGGGGGTGGGGAGAAACATTTGATAGCCGCATTAATCGCGAAATTATGAATTCATAAAGGTCAAATGGCATATTGGAAATTTGTCACACAACGGAAAACTGCAGACTGAAAAACTTAACCCCCCCCCCACCCCTCATGTACATATTGGTCGTTGTTATGTAAATTATTTGATTTGAATGTCATTTCTTCATTATTTCTATGATTTGTATTGTTTCTGCATCCTTTGCTTTACTTTTGTGATATTTAAAGGTATAGGGCCCTAGTCCATCATTTGTAATTTGTACATTTTGTTCCTTTGAAGCGACAAGCGTGCTCAAAATCTAAAGAAGGTTGCTAAACAACTAACTTGATGAAGTTTCAGCTCAGCTTCAGCTGTATATTTCGAGAAAAACAGCATTCTAGAATCTCGATTTCAAATCAAAAGTTGCGGAATCATGTTTGAATTCGGCCTGAATGCAGCGCTGCGTCCGAGACACGTTCTCACTGCCGCCGATTGCAGCTACATGATGTTGCGCACTGATCCGACGACTTATGGCAACCGCGCGTGCGTGTGCGTCGTGTCAACGCTTGCGCGCGCTTCGCCAAATAAAAAAAAACGAACTACTAACGGAAATTTCCAACCATGCGTCTTAAGAAAGGCCTTCTTTCGTTGATTTCTTCAAAATGACAGCTTGCCAAAAAGAATAATTTCACAGGGAGTTTAGTCCCTAGCTTACTATCTTTAAACCAAGTATGTTTTTCAACAATAATTACGTAAGTTTATACTTTTTGGATAGCTGCAAATGATGAAATGTCTTCTGGTTTTTCTTGAATGTTAACTTCATGCATTATGTATTCATCAAGTTATTTTGTTGTTCCAGCACCCCTGCAGCCTCGCTGTTCCGGGTTGGGGAGTTATTAGGAATACTGAATGGAAACGTTTGTTCACAGTGAAGTCAATGGGGGTTGAATACAGTCGTTTTCCTAGTTCCGGATCGCTTCAAATAAAAACCTACCTCTTTTGGATAAGTCTCCAATAAAAAAAATCTGACGAAGTGCATTTTGAAAAGGAAAATGTGAGCTTCTTGATACACAAAGATCTTTTGGATAAAATCTTTAGAAAAGGAATTTTGGCGAGATTTCTGACTCGCACTGTGACATGTTTGGACGGTTTGTAGAAAATCGCGGGAGCTGCGAATCGACGATAAATTTTCTCCTCGGTACATCACTCGTACCGTGTGATTTTGAATATTTTGTTCATACACTACAAGTCGTATAAACTCTTCCATCGAATGTTTGTTGAATCAAAATAAGTTGTAGAGTCTCTAATATTTGAAATTTCGCCAACGAATGACGGTATGTTTTTGCCTAGTTCCGGATCGCGCTGCACTATACGTCCCAACTACATGCGCGTTAATCGATTTTTGTGTGACGTATTCTGTGCTGGGTCAAATGTTTTCGGTCCGTGCGTGAGTTCGTGCCTACGCACTGCAGACAAAAGTTTCAAAAATCATTTACGTTAATTCTTTTTTTAAAATTTGTTGGAATTCTCTTGAATGAACTATTTTTGGAAAATTAAATAATACTTATCAGAAAATGTGCTTGATTCGGAGTGGTTATGCATGAACAATTTATTTTCTCGCGTGATTTTTTTTCGCGCCAAGCAGTTTTTGATCGATTCGGAACTGATTAAACCGATCCGGAACTATGAAAAGTGGCATCGGTACTTCTGACGTCGTAAAGTCAAAATAAAAAGAGCTTAAATTTGGAAAATTATTTTGTAGTATCTCCATCACTCAAGGTAAATATTTTAATCAATGTCACTTGAATTTGTGGAGTAGTTGAGCCGAAAGCAGCCTAAATGATGTTTGCTATCCGGAACTAGGAAAACGACTGTAGTATAACTTGTATAAGACACGTTCCGTTTTTGTGTCCATTGTGCATTAAGGCGTACTCTAAACAGTAGACCAATAAGCTACGCAATATAAACAAAATAGACTTAATAAGAAGGCATATGGAAAATTGGCTGAAATGAGTAATATGAACTCCGAGTCATATGACATGTTATTCATCGGTTGACCCGTGGAACCCCATCACTCTATTTGTTTTAGCCATCCACTGCTTATCCTAAAGCAAGTCAACACATTTGGCGGCGGTACTGTTCTTTTCGGGGCTTCACCTACACACACGTGGGTTGTTGTTACCGCACACACGTGGGTTGTTGTTGACCCTTCTAGTCTGGTTCTCAGACGTAATGATTTTGCCTATTCTCACAAATTTTAGATCAGGTAGTCGAACAATATCACTTGACAAAAACGGAAAAGGGTCCTACTGTTTCCTGAAATGTCTGAAGTTTTCCGAACACGTTTGTGTCGACGCACGGATAATGTTGGCAATATCTCAGGTGTTTCCGGATGTAAATGGTAGTAATTTCCAACACCGACAAAATGCACGTCATGTCCTGAAATATCGAAGCGCGAATTTGCAAACTGTCATGCTACACTTAACGCCTGTTTGAAGGGTCCATGCGATGATTGTTTCGGAGGAACACATTTTTGTGCAACTTTCTACTCCTCTTAAATGTATGAAAACTATTTGACATTCCTTTTGGTTAATTTTAGTGAAAAGTGCACTCCTTTAAACATTTGAAATTTTCCATGCTTTTCCTTGAAAATAAGGTTAATGGGACACAAAGGTGCATTTTCAAGGAATGCACTAAAACAAATTGCGTAACTCTTTAAAGCCTATATTTTGGCGTTGTTCCTCTTTAGTACGACGGCCACCTGACCTACGATCTACAATGATACATCAGTAGATCTTCAAGTCGGGGAACCAGACAAGTATACTGCGTCTGCTTAACACCTCCGAGCTATCACCCGAGATGCATGGCGGCATTTGTCTATTTCCTTACGTGTTGTGGCGTTTTGGGTAATTTAACTGTTGTCACTCTTATTGGCTCAATAATTGTATTCATACAAAGTGAATCATTTTGCTTCTCCACGTTTTCACTGCATACGTGTTGTTTATACCATGGAATATGAAATATGAAACGTAATACTGCATATTGGCGGGCCAGCTTGTAACATTTTAAATTCCAAAGAATCGTGTTTTCATAACTCACACGTCGTGACGAATTGATGCTGTTTTTACCCCAGACACCGCATACCAGGGTGAGAGAGCAGGTAGTGGTGGGCGCGTACTGCTCGACACACATGCTTATACCTCCGAACCGACTGAGAATTTTGCTATAGCAGGATCAAAATAACGGCCGGTTAGATATTTCAACTGCGCATGCGCACATCAAGATTGGACGATATTCCTTTCGGGTAAAAGTGTTCTCGTATGCGTGCACGCACAATCTATAATCAGCAGGCACTCACGAAGTTAAAGAAAACTGGAGTTCAAAAATACAAAAGAAAACGACATCCAGGTGTTTTATTTGCTCTAACGTTTGTGCGACCGAAATTTCCGATTTGATTTCATGAAAAATTACACAAGGCGGATTGGGATGAAACTCCTCTGCCCTAATATGTACCTATCTTTCGCGGTCATCAATGAAAGTAAAAATCATCGAATCTTGTTGTGCACATGCGCAGTTGGAATACCGAACTGGCGTACTTTTGGCAGCCTCCAAATTACTTGGCTACGTCTTGATACTACACACGTGTCAATGGGAACCGGCTGCAGCCGGCTACAGCCGCTTCCCACTGACACGTGCGGAATTTCAAGCCGTAGCCACGTAATTCGGACGCGGCTTATGGCCCAATGGTTGTGATTTTGCTGTTGGGGTTTGGGCGGGGTTTTGGGAGCATCTAGCGGAACTTGTAGAAAAAAGAACATCTGATGTTGGCCCGTGTCCCCCCCCCCCCTCCCACCACGCCCCAGCAAACCGGATTCCAAACATTTCTTACAGGGTCTTGTACGGAAGCCCGTTCGTGCCAGATTTTAAAAGTGAAAAATATTTTTATTGCAAAATAACGCAATAGTTTTGCGAAATAACGCAATAGTTTTGCGAAATAGTAATGCGTTATTTCGCAAAACTATTGCGTTATTTCGCAATACTATTGCGTTATTTTACAATACTATTGCGTTATTTCGCAATAAGTATTGCGTTATTCGCAATAAGTATTGCGTTATTTCGTAATACTATTGCGTTTTTTTCGCAATACATTTATTGCGTTATTTCGCAATACATTTATTGCGTTATTTCGCAAAAGTATTGCGTTATTTCGCAAAAGTATTGCGTTATTTCGCAATACTATTGCGTTATTTCGCAAAAGTATTGCGTTATTTCGCAAAAGTATTGCGTTATTTCGCAATACTATTGCGTTATTTCGCAATACATTTATTGCGCTATTCCGCAATACTATTGCGTTATTTCGCAATACTATTGCGTTATTTCGCAATAGTATTGCGTTATTTCGCAATGGTATTGCGTTATTTCGCAAAACTATTGCGCTATTTCGCAAAACTATTGCGTTATTTCGCAATAAAAAATTGTTTTCACTTTTAAAATCTGGCACGAACGGGGTTCCGTAGGATTGTGAACAACCTAACCAGATTAAATAAAAAAGATGCATCTACAAAAATTAGCAGCTTGTTTTATGTGACATTAGGTGGTGCACAGAAACAAAAACATGTCATAGGAATAGTTATCATGCCTTTGGGGGAGCTGTGTAAAAAAAAAGAGAAGGCTTTTCCGCTTTAGTGTGAAAAAAAGAAATAACCCAGTTGTCCCCTGCTCCGTGTAGTGTTTGCGTAATTGCCTATGATGTAGTCCTACACCGGCCATTGATTTGCCGTTACGTCAAGCCTGAGCTGTCACCGGTGTTTAAAAGGTGACCTGGTGTGGGTGAACAACCCACGTGATTTTCTTGAAGCGTGTCATAGAGCTGGAAAATGATACCTCGACCGGCTCCAGATCATTGCGCGGGCTGAAGCTTCAGCAGGAGCACATGGCGCTCAGCTCATATGCGTCCAATCAACGTGAGTCTGTATCACGTGGGGAGGCCACCATTCAAATCTCAAATATATACTGATCTCGCTGGAGAGAGGAAAGGAAAACCCCTTTAATTGTTACCTGGTTATAAAATACGATCAGTTGCTGCAGATCATCAGTGGTTGTGGCCCAACGAACAGCGTGCTTCAATTGTCGGCCCATGTCAAGTGAAACAAACCCTGCCTGGTTTGTGAAGATGGACAGGGCAGAGACAAGCAATCCGTTCTTGGCTAATGATTCCCACCTGACAGCCACGCATTCTGCCAATGCCAGCCTTGCTGCTTGCGGCTCGACCAAAGCGGCTGTGAGTCACCTCCCAACCACGGGCACTTCATCCATCACCGGACTGCCGGACCAGGCATCCCCTGGGCAAGACACCACCGTCCGGTCCTGCTCTTCCTCGGCGGCGGTGAGTGGCCTGCCCTGCTCGCTGGGCCTGGGCTGCACTCAGTCCAAAGTCCGCGTCAAGGTCACCGGTACCAAAGGGTGCCCCGTTCCTTCGGTCAAGCTGCCTGAGTACCCCTGGGTGAGTGCTACACCTCCCGTAACCCAAGGCCACAACAAAGTTCAGGGGAAAGGAGGTAAGTTTGAATTGTTGAATCCCGTTCGATTCGTATAGACACCTTGTAACTATTAGAAAATCAAGACAATCGGATTTCTTTCAAAAGGTTGTTGAAGTGTTCATCATGTAAACATGAATGTTTATACGTGAATATGAAACTTTAATATAATGTGAAATTCTTCACTTACATTTTTTGTCATAAAATTGTTCATACTTGTGGCAAGTTGTGGACCAGCGTTCCTACCCTATGTCGAGGTGGAGCGGCCGGTTTTTCATGCAACCGAATTTTGTTAGAGGTTTTTGTGTTTTGTGTGTTTTTTAATCTATTTGATTTTTTTTTTTGAGATCATTTCCCCATCATTTCCCCCTCAAGTTATACGACAATTTTGAGGAATTCTCCGAAACAAAATAGCAAGTAAGGTATTCGCAATTCCGTAACAAAAAATATGATGTAATTATTATACTAATAAAAAATAAACATTGGAAAGTGGTTATGGAACTGTAGAAACTAACAATTAGCAATAGATTCAACGAAAACTTGATTTCGTCAGCCGGGATTTCCCCAGACACGGTGCGGTCTAACGGACTAGTGCCCTCAAGTTGTTTGATACTGTCCAGCATGATGTCCAAAACAAAAGATGGCTGGTTCAGTTCCTTTTTGCCTAAAACAGGTGTCTGTAACTCCCAATTGCCTCTGAAGCCAAGTAAAAACAACCGATCGGCCGAGACAAATGCGTCTATCCACAGCAACGCTTTCGCGGCACTCAGAGTGCAAATGTTCCCTCGCTTCATAACAGGGTTATAAACATGTATTGCCAAGATAAAACAAAATAACTCCGCATAGCCTATACCCAAAGTTTGAGAACAATCAGGGACGTATATACATGTACATCCCCTTTTTTCGGTCGGGAAGTAGGGTGATATAGCCCTAGTTTTCTCTTAATTGCTTGTAATACACAATAGAAGTGCAGATCCACCAAACCAACAGGACTCTTATGGTAAACACTGATTTTCCCCTATTTAGGAGCATCAAAGGCCGCACCGTCTCGGCGTGTCCGCACCGCCTTCACCAACACTCAGCTGCTGGAACTTGAGAAGGAGTTCCGCTACAACAAATACATCAACAGACCGCGTCGAATCGAGATCGCATGCCTGCTTGAGCTGACAGAGCGACAGGTAGATATTCGTTAATAATATTATTGGGTTTGTTTGCTGTGTTCTTGTTAGTTTGTTGTTTGTTTGTTTGTTTGTTTGTTTGTTGCTGCTGCAGCTTTTTTTGTCGTCGTGTATTTTTTCTCTCTGTTTTTATTTTAATAATGATGAGGTTGGTGTTGTTGTTGTTGTTGTTGTTGTTGTTGTTGTTGTTAATGTTGTTGTTGTTGTTGAACGTTATTAGAGTTTTTTCCTGTTTCTTTGCTAAAATTACATTTACAACTCATTTCGAGTAACACTTGTCGCTAAGAGAAGGGGTTTACCCCGGTGTTTCTGTCAGTGGCTTTAATATGCGCCGCAGCACCTAGCAAAAGGTGCTACATAATGGGTCTCATAATGTTCATATACTTCACTTACCTGTCTTAAGTTTCATTCTCCCCTATAAGCACTTTGTATCCTTTGGAAAAGGCGCTTTATAGATACGGTTATTATTTAGTATTTCTACTTAAAACAAAGCGCCAAAACGGATATATTTAGGAAGAAGAAAGAATTATGAATACATTCAAAAGTACTGGACACAATTTGCAAACATTCAAACGTGAAACTGCCAAAAATATCAGGAAATAATAGGATCAGGCATCGTGTGAAATCATTGAGCTAGTATGATGTCATTTTCGAGAAAAGAGAATTTGCCTTGCGATGGTTATAGGGTTAGTAACTACTTTTTCATAAATGTTGGACAATTTCAGGAATATGTGCAGAGTAAGTCGTTTGCGTCAGATCACTTGCAAAGTGTCCCACTGAGATCAAATTTGAGTGTCCCCCCCAAAAAAAAATCCACAAAAAAAATGAACAAAACAAAATCCACGGGAAAACAAACCCGAATAAACCAAAGCAAAACAAGCACATATTTGAATATGACAGCAATGCACGAAGAAAATCAATTGATATTATGACATGACTCACATGTGGGTCATTCATGTTTTAATGTGAACTAGAGGTTCGCGTTTGTTGTTACAAACGCAGAGTGGCCGGGCAGGCAATTTGTTCATTAAACTCTGCCGAGTTGAGTTATGAATATGTTTATGTAAGAACAAAGAATCACAAACTTAAATCCTTTCCAGTACAATCCATTATTCTGTTTTAAAAAAGATGCATCTTTAACCGTGTGATAAATTTCAGTAAACATTCTATGTACACATACAAGTTATTTCTGGCTTGATAACGTCATTAGTCAAAAACGGGAAGTGGATACTGATTTAGTTAGGAGTGGATAAATGTTCGTTGTGAAGTTAAATAACGTATGAAAATATGGCAAATATAACTGTATGTATTCATAACACCTAACTTCCGGTTTGATGACGTCACAGTATTTGGAAGCAAAAGGTGAACATTGTAAGGGATATCTTATTTGGGCTACAAAGATATACGACATGGATCAAAAGATACAATTAAATTTAAACTTATGATCGTTTTCAAATTCTCCTTCAAGTAACTGCCAGTCATGAATGTGAAACCTTGTGGTTGAAAGAGAATATCAAGAGGCGATTTGGTAAAATTTGAACGGATGGTTTAAAAATTAAAGAAAGCAAACACTATTTTATGAGCCGCTAGGGGCGCTTTTTCGGACGATGACATCATCATACTGTTTGCTTTGTGTCTGGCATTCCTAACTAAACACTTTTATATATTGGTAGTAAAATGCTTCCGCTTTTGAGTTATTTTCAGTTTTTATTGCACTTCCGGTAACACCGGAAGTAAAGGTCAAGCTGTTTTGTGTCTGGGAACAAGAAATGTTTTTCACGGCATAGTCTACAACCTCACGAAAAAACGAACACGATACTCTATTTGGTTCAACAGACATAGCGCAAACTATTTTGTCAAAATTTGTCCTTAAATCGATTGTAATTTGATACATGATGACATCATGATGACGTAACAAAATTTACAACATCTCCATAACATGGTACAAGTTCACACTAGGTTTTATGGTCATACCGTAAACCGTTCGGAAGAAAGTTTGCTTTGTTTTGATTTCAGGCTAACGTCTTCATTTTGAATTCACCTATCTTTGACCTTCCGGTAGCCCCGGAAGAAAAGGTCAAACGACTTTGGCTTCAAATCAAAAATGTCTATCGAGGTATTGTCCATTAGATCACAAAGTATGAAAGTGATCGTTCATTTTGTTCATGAGTTATACTTGACGGAAAATTGTCATATTTTGACCAAAAATCGCTTGTAATTTGACACTGATGACGTCATAGTGACGTCAGAGTAAAATGCACCACTCAGGATGAGGGTCGATATATATTGAAAGTTACAAGTTCATACCATACACCGTCTAGGAAAAACCCGCGGAGAAGTATTGTCCGTAAAAAAAAAGAACCAAACAAAGAAGATTTATGAGAACAATTCCAGACAGTGGTCGGGTTGTGCCCGACCACTCAAAAACCACAGGTTGAAAAAAAAACATGTGTTAATGTGATCGAATAACAAAGTAAATTGGGTTTTTAATATTAATACACATATTTTTTTTCATTCAGGTGAAAGTTTGGTTTCAGAACCGTCGAATGAAAGAGAAACGTCTTGCATTGAAGAATGCAAGCAAAGCTAAATGTTACCAAGGCAACCATCGTGGTCAACACCACTTTGGGACTGGTGCGTCTCCATTTGTTGACAGGGGTGATCAGCCGTCAAACCCATACAACAATGAGGAACAAATCCAAAATGATCCAAACTACCGAAATCTGGCCACTGTCAGAGCAGTACCCACCGCCGCAGCCCCCGTCTCCCGTCAACCTCCTACCAACGCTGCGGACATCTTGGAGCAGCAATCCACGGCTACTTTGAGCGCCCAAAACCAGAGTTCAGCCAGTTTGACATCCAGCTTAGGCGGCCTACGCCCAACTGTGGCCGGCGGAGTCGACTCGTACCATCATCGCTACGAGCATCACCGCTACACTTACCCAACTGAGGAGAGAATGGACGGCTCTATCCGCGGTAATACCAAGACGGCATGGTGCCCCCTTCCCGGAGGATCCTCGTCAGGCGCCGCTGTGAATGATGGTTACCGTTTGACGTATGGAGCCGAGGTTGGAGAGTTCATGCAGGCTCAGTACACTCTTTGTCCAGTGAAAGAGTCAGGTTTATGTAGCGGGCAGCAATATACCAATATCAATTCAAATATAATGTACCCGCCGCATTTCTAAGTATACACCTACTTTGTGGTCAAAGGTTGCATTCAGCATAGATTTATGTTTTTTTGTATCAGTAAAGATAACACACGAAAAACAAACTGTCAAAATATGCCGAGAGATCATGCAGATATCAAATTCCGGTATTGGTTGTTGCCTACAATTAAATTACAAAATACAAATAAACAGCTGTAAAGATAAACCAGCACAGAGTGCGACCGATACCACTCTTAAGTTGACTGAATATTGATTTCATTGTTTCACTTATTATGTGAACGTATTGTACAGATAGAATAGTGTCAACAAAATACGGAGTGTAAAGGGCCCATGCAATGTAATTGTTTTGATGCAATCCTTGAAAATGCACCTTTGTGTCCCAGTTAGCCTCATTTTCATTTTTTTGTTTTGCCATTTTCAAGGGTATTTTGGTGTCCTTTGGTTTGTATGCAAATGAAAATTTCCATATTCATGAGCAAAAGTGTGTTGTCATTTCAGGCAGAAACCCCAATGTTACAGTTTAATATTTCAGCACAAAAAGTTGCCAGAACTTGGATATTTTGCTGTCGTGAATTTTCTGTTCTTTGATGTGACTCGTTCTTCGTTGTTGTGACAAAACATGGCAGTAAGACAGTGAACAAACTTTTCTCACAGATGTTTTCATTGAGCAAAGTTTGGGTTCCCAATGTGAGCAGAATTCCCTTGTTTCCCTTAACTGAACAGTGTCTTCCCGAAATGACATCACAGCAACGGCGCCCTCAGTTATCTGGATAAGCATGGAAACTTTAAATGTTTAAAGAAGTGCACTTTTCAATAAAATTAACCAAAAAGGGATGTCACATAGTTTTCATAAATTTAAGAGGAGTAGAATGTTGCACAAAATATGTTCCTAAGAAAACTTAATTGCATGGACCCTTCAATGTAAATGTCCCACCAACTGATTAATATTTAAATTTGGTTTTTCGCGAAAAACAAATGAGCAGGAATTTGCTTCTTAACGACGGAAACGTATTATAATTTCTTGTAAGATGGTACTCTCGGAGAAAATTTACAAGTCTAAACAGATGTTTGGAGAGCGGGTTATACTGAATGGCATGGAGGAAGTGCCTCTAAAAAAGTCAGCACTTGGAAAACACGATCTTTTGTTTATTATTTTTAAGTTGAAGACGTCTTGCAAACCTTTATTGGGCTGTTTCACTTTTTTTTTTATTGAAACCATGTTTTTTTTCTCTTTTCCTTTCGACTTCAAACTGTTTTAACCCAAACAGCGGGGGTAAAACAAAACCTTATAACTATTGGTTAAGACCTAGCTAAGTTGAACTATTTTTACTAAATGTTCCATAACGACCTTTGTGTTTGTTGACATCTTAAATTGTTAATTACTTTGCTTTTGAGTGTTACTTACACGTAACACGCTCGCACGCTCGCACGCTCGCACGCTCGCACGCTCGCACGTTTAACCATTACAACTAAGGCCCAACTTTTGTTCTGAGTTATTTTTGTCTCAGCTTTTTTCACTGTTTAAGCCTCTTCTTTCACTGTAGTACAAAGTTGTTGTGTACGTACTTTTGGGGTGTGGCACCTTGAAAAATAGATTTTCAAATCGAATAAATTATTTAGAATTGCATTAGTTATGAGCTTTCCCAATTAGAAATCGCACAAAACAATCGGCCCACAACAAGTAATCAGTTTTTTAATTTTATTTTTGAATGAAGAGCGGGACGCTCCTAATTCGTTCTGAATAGTGTGCGCAATTTCTGAAATGAAGCGCGCCATTTAAAACCACTTTTAAAAACAAAGGCCTGCAAAAAACAAACAAGCAAATTTATTTGTTACAGGACATAATATTTCTGTAAATTTCGTTCGGAAAAGAAAATCGAAATTTTGAAAAAGCACGTGTATATCAACTTTAAGGGTAGAGTAAAGCCACTGACAAAAGGTGGTTTTTCAGTCTAATATTTACATTCAGGAAAGTATACGTTTGTTTTCGCCTCGATTCATGAAGTAATCATTGTGAATTTAGGTTATATTTCTTGAAAACCCACACAAGGTTTTCCCGTATATTAAAGCGCACTCATCACAAGAACAACTCGTGCATTGTGAAAGACCGAATTATTGAGATAAGCCTCTTGAAAACAGCCGATGTAAAACAAATCTTTTTCAATCAATCATTGTTTAAGACTTAGCCAGGTAAAAATATTTTTCAAAATTTTGAAATCTACCCGTTTGCTTGTATATATGTATTTGTAATATTTGTATTCATTTTAAAGTCATCCTCAACACGCTGGCACATGTTCGCACCTTTTAAAAACCGATATTATATTGCATTTCAAGTTTTATATGCATATTAAAGTTTGCACCAACTATAGAGCCGTTGCCCTCGAGATACTTTAAGGATAACGTTAAACACTGAAGTTATAGTTTAATTTGCAATTTAAATTTTCCATTAATATAATTTATACTTTGGATTTCACTGCTCTTCATAATCACTCGTTCTGAAATTAAGTTATATTTCTTGAAAGTGCACTAATTACAAGTTTAACTCATATTTTAAAGCGCACCCATCACAAGTATTATTCTTAGGATCAAAATTACAGACCAAAATATTAAGAGAAAGATCACTATTAATCACATGTTCGCATATTCGCTTTAACAGCTCTAGCTTCTCAGTAATTTACTTTAGTTTTGCCTGGAAATACGATCACCATTACGTCACAAAATTGAGTGAAAAGACACAGGAAATGTATGAATAATTTGATCAATAAATTTGTTTTCATTTCTTTTAAATTCTCCTTTTTACAATTTTTTTTTAGGCCTAATGGTTTTGCTGCCTTCGTTTTGCTGAGATTTGCTGAGCCACTCCGCTTGTTTTCTATAGTCCAGGAAAAATACTTTATCTTTTAAGTTAACCTTACACAAAATCCAAGTGGTGGAAATATGCCTAATTTGCATAAATTGTTACCTGTCGTGTGATATATTTGTTCCCATATTTGGGTAAATATATACTTTTTTTTTGAAAAGTTATTTTGGTGATTCTACTTATACATCCTTACTTCAATAACATTTTCGAAAGCATATAAGTGACTGAATTATTATGAGTACATAGTAACGATCCAAAATGGCTACTATTATACCCTACAGTTGCGCACATTTACCTTGTCTCCAGATATCATCAAGTAGTCTTGCCAATGATGAGCTTCAAATTCACCAATTTGCTTACTGGCACAGTTACCCTATTAAAACTTTATTGAAAATCATGTGAACAATGACAACATTGTGACATTTAGCCCAGCAAACAAAGACGGGGAAAAACGAGTGTCCGTAGATTGGGCTAAAACTAAGGCTACGGTTTGCCTAACGCGGGGGACTTAAACAAGTTGGAGGAAATTCCCCAAAATACTAGATTATTGTTTCTTACAATAATTATGTCAACGTCAGAATGTTTTCTCACCAATAATTTTGGGAATTTCCTTGAATTAGGCAACCCTTCACCTACTTAATTTACGGACACTAGTATGTTTCCCCGTTTTAGCAAGATCTTTTTTTTGAAATTGTGTAACACAATTTGCACATTTGCATGCTCCTTGAATTAAATTCAATTATTATTTTAGTATATTTTAGCATTCAATTTGACGTTTCGTTGCAATTAGATTCTAATTGGACCATTTTTTTTAACAATATTTTTCACTGTCTCTCTCCAAATTGTATACATATTATTTAGGGGTGAATCTTGACTAACCACAATTGGATCGAATCACATATTTCTTGAAATCTCCATCGTCTTCATAATCACTAGTGGGACGGAAAGCACGGTCGTGTGGTGAAGAATTCGCTAAACAGTAGGCCGAGAAATCGCGGTTGATTGAAAGAGATTGATCAGTTTCAGAGACGGCTAGCGTGGCCAGTCTTTGAAGTGTACGAACGTGGATCGGGATGGCTTTTTTGCGACTCCAGACGCGAGACGGCCGATTAACTACGACTCAAGTCGGCCGGTCCCGGACAGCGTTTGGAGGGTTTGCTTTCGTGCTCTTGGTAGACGTGTTGAGGCCCCACACCGGAAGTGGGTCAGTTTGCTTAGCTTTTCTCCTGTTTTCATATCTTGCCTGGCGGTGGTTGTGTTCAGTTACATCGGACGTCGGAGGAGGTCATGTCGCTATCTTGTAAAATACTTCAACTAACCGAGTGACACAATCAAAATGTAATTCAATCCATCTTGATTGGCATGATGTGCGTGTTGCTTGCCCTCGGGATGTCTTGGTTAGAGCACGGTTAAAGCTGAATTGAAAGAATTGAAAGAACACACGTAGATTTCAACCAGTATGTCAATAACCTGTTTGGCAAACGGTATACGTATGTCTGATTCTCTTCCAGATAACCAGAAACGTATTGTCAATATGCCTACACAGGCGCGGATCCAGAGAGGGGGGATCGAAACCCACCTGCTCTAACAGCAAAAAATACATTAAAACAATTATAGTAATAATAATTACCTATATGTCTGCTTGTCCGCAACAATCGAACATAAAAAAATCTGACGGGCCTACCCCCCCCCCTGCAAAAATTCCTGGATCCGCCCCTGCTACAGGGGGACCCTCCTGAGTTTTGGGACCCTATATCACAATTCCAAGGTTCGACCATGAGACAGCCCGGACGTGGGCTGAAAAAAAAACCCAATAGTACTTTTTGGTAATTAACCAGCTATAAAATGCTGACGGAATGTTTTGTGTATTCTGCGTTCATCTTTCTGTTCCTTTCTGTTTGCCCACTTTACGTTAAAACGTGTGCACGTCGGCTTTGGATATATACAAAGCGCTCGAAAAATCAAAGCAAAAACAATCATTGTAACGGAGAGAAATAAACAAACTGATCAAGACCAGGGGTGTACATTACCCAGGGGATTTAGAAAACGAGGGCGTTGAGGGGTTTTCACAAGCTGAATTGACGAGAAGTCTCGTCGGAAATGACGAGGGATTCGAAGATACATAACTCTAAAATATACCTGGGCAGAGTTGATCCAAAATCCGGGTTCTATTCCCCAAGGTTTTCGGGTCAAAATGACCCGGAAAATATTCCAAAGCAAGTGTCATTTTGACCAGGACAAGGTTCATTTTGGACCCGGCTCGATCTGAACAGGGATTTTTTTTTAGACTGTACAATTCCCTGTCTTCAGTTTAACATCTTCATGTAATTAAACTTTTGAATCGTATATTCCTCTCACAGTCTGAATTATGTATCTGTACTTTGTTGTTGCACAATTTGAATATCACTCACAATATGTTACACAATCAGGTAATACTAAGCTACTTAATGAATGTTAATTAATTGTGAATTTACCCCCTCACTTTCACTGTCTTTATTTTAATTGATTCATTTT